CAACCGCCCTCAGCAAGAGCCAAACCCTGACAGCAAACGATCCCAGAAGCGCAAGCAGGTGGCGGATGCACGCAGACAGGAACTCCCCGAAGAGCTACGCGAGGCCTTCGATGACCTGCCATCTCAGGAGCCACAGCCAGAAGGCCCCAAGGTCGCGTTCAAGTTGGAGCAGGAAGAATGGCTCAAGATCTATGGCGAATTGGAGCAGGATACCTTCAGACCACGAACAGCGGCAGCACAGTTGTCGACAGGCCCCCTGTCGACCTGGAGGCCCACTCAACGCTCTACCTTGGATAATCGATATGGACGATGGGTCACTACCTTGGAGCGGTCTATTGTTGCGGTCAGCGATGTGGAGGACCCCGATGTGTTTTTCGGCAGAGGGCAAGGGTATTCAATTTCATGGAGGAAGATGCGCCCTGCCCCAGGTCGACCTCACATGTGCGACCCTGTTGCAGAATGGTGGGGGATCGCCTCCACGCTGCTTGCTCGAGGCGTGGCCTTGACACGCTCAGGCAGGGACCCTCCAGAGGCGGAGAAGTGCCTCGCGGGCTTTCGGTCCATGGTCCAGGGCCTGACAGACGCCAAGCAGCAGGAATTCTTCGGGAAAAAGGCCTTGACCACCACTGTGCAGGAGTGGAAGGACGTTGCCCTGCAGGTGCCGCACCTCAGCCAGACAGAGTTGGAGCAGCCCCAGGTGCACACCAACACGTGGGTCGACCGCGCCCAGGGGCGCTCTTTAGTCAAGTCTCGCCAAGCCTTCATGGACTGGGCAAAGCAGATGTGGGCTAAGAGGCCAGGCGCTATTCATCGTCACGTTCGTGCTCCTCCCCCTGACCCACTTCCTCGTGAGATCATCAGAGATGGAGTGGGCACCGCAGACCCTTGCGTTCTCATTCGCACGAAGAAGGACTTCTGGCAGGCAGTGTGGCAGGAAGATAATGACAGCAGGGAGCACTTGCTATGGACTTTGGAGGGATTGGCCAGGGATGCTCGCGATGATCCCTTGCCACCACTGAATGAAGGACAGATTGAATCGATACTTAGACGACAATCGCCAAACAAAGCTAGAGGAGTTGATGGCTTGGGCCCAGTTGACCTTCAACGCATGCCTCAAGCTGGACTGACGGAGCTCACGTGTATCCTCAATCAAGCGGAGCTACTGCAAACTTGGCCGACAGCGTGGTTAGCTACTATTTGTGCGGTTATTCCGAAGCCAGCTGGAGGCACGAGAGTACTGGGCATGTTGCCGCAATGCTGCAAGACGTGGAGCCAGGCGCGCAGTTCGGTCACCTCCAGTTGGTCAGATGGACTTTCTGCTTTCTGGGACACGGCCATCAGAGGCAGCAGCGCCCTGAGAGCTGCGATGACGAGAAGCCTCATGGATGAGGCCTCTGCTACCACAGGCAAGGCAACGGCGACGGTTCTGCTGGACATTGCCAAATTTTACGACTCCATCTCCTTCACTCTCCTGGTGGTTGCGGCGCGGGGGCTCAACTTCCCTCCCACGGTGCTGCTCATGGAGATCCTGCTCTTCATGGCGCCGCGCATCCTCAAGGAGGGCTCGGTCATCAGCGAGCCGTTCTGCCCAGGCCGCTCGATTGTGGCTGGATCGTCGCATGGAGTCTGCCTTGGAAAAGTGTTCTTGCATTCTGTGCTGGAGGCCGCGCACGCTAGAGCCCCTCAGGCCTCGTTATGGACCTTTGTCGATGACACCGTGGCAAGATCCGAGGGCACCCAGGCCACTGTCGTTTCGGAGATGGAAGGTTTTGCTGAAGCTTTCTCGGGGGGATTCAGACTCAAGAGGCTCACGGTCTCGGACAAAACGGTTGTCTTGGCGTCCTCTCCTGAGCTAGGGAAACACATTGCCAGAATTTTCAGAGCCCGAGGGATGCCCGCTAGGTTTGCTTCTGTTGGAGTTGATTTAGGTGTAGACACTGCGGCAGGTCGATTTCGGACACGGAAGAAGGCACGCCAGAGAATGGCTAAAGCCAGCGGGCGTTTTTCTAGGATTGTGAAGATGCGCAGGCTGGCTGGTTTGAGGAAAGTCACCCAGGGCGCTTGGCGCACGGGAGCCTTACCACAGGCCAGCTTTGGCCATCAAGTTTATGGTGTGCCACCGAGTCAGGTCCTGCTTCTTAGGCGACAAGCTGCTCGCACGGTCTCGGGAATGGGTAAGGGCAAATGTTTAACAACTGTTCTGCAGACTGTGCTGGGGGATGGAGATCCCGCCCTGGAACTGCGCTGCCAATTGGTGGACGCCTGGCTGCAGCTGTGGAAGCGCTTCCCCGCCCTCCAGCCTCGTATTCGACGGTCGTGGGGTATCGTTCGGTCGCAGCTCGATTCGCTTGGTGCCAAGAGGTGGAGAGGCATTCGGGGGCCCATAGCTGCAGTCCAGGCCACCCTTCTTGAAGCAGGATGGGAGCCCAGGGAACCCGACCTGTGGGAACGACCCGACCATGCGGAGCATGCGTGGAGGTTCCCACGAATGGGCGACCCAGACTATGATTTACTCCCGATTTCTGACCATGCAGACTTGTTGCATGAGTTCGTTTCTGACATGAAGGCTAAGTTGTGGCAAGGTGCTGCAGGGCACGAGGCAGGTGACAGTTTGAAAGAAGGAGCCGGTCTCCTCCCACTGCAGCAGGAACTCCGCCGCTTCGAGTCTCGGGGTCAGTCGGATCTGTGGGGCCTCACCTTGCGCGTGGCCTCGGGGGGCCAATGGCCACGTCAGCGCCAAGCCGACAGTGGCTACACGGTTGACGTAACTTGTCCAAGGTGCAAGGCGGCCCCTGAGACCTTGTTTCACAGAATATGGCAATGCGTGTGTAACGTAGATCACCAAGATTTTAGCAGCACGCAGTCACTGGTTTCCCAAGCCACGGCGCAGTGGGAAGCAGACCCTTCTTTATGGCTGAGAGGAGTCCCGTCGAGAGACCTCACCTGCCCCGTCTTCCTTGACCCTCTTGAGGCCCCTCCTCTCACGTACTACGGCTCCTCTCGCCTCAGTGAGTTTTGTGTAGCCCCTGGCCAGGACCCTCCCCACATTTTTGGAGATGGGTCAGGGGGGAAATACAGCAGCGACCCGAGACGCAGGCGCTGTGGCTCTGGAGTTGCCCTCATTCGTCGGGCTGATGATGGCTCCTGGGAGCCGGTCTCGGGAGTCTCGTCCCCCCTCCTGGGGCCGCGGCAGACTGTGTCGCGCGCGGAGATAGCTGCGCTCGCCATCGCTCTGGAAGAAACCACGGGACCCATCATTTATGTCACTGATTGCCAGCCTGTCCTGGATGGTTGGAGAGCGGGTCGTGCCCACGGCAAGTTAGGCCCGAATCAGGACTTGTGGTTCAGGGTGGCGGTGGCGTTGCGAAATCGGGGGGTGGCTGAAGTACAGGTCGTGTGGACGGCTGCCCATCTTGAGGACACAGGCAAGGCTCTCAGTGCTAGGCAAGTGTTCCTCACTGCTGGCAACATGTGCGCGGATGACCTAGCGGGTAAAGCGGCGGACGAGGCCTTGCTCCTGTATACTCGCCAGCCTGCCCCCAGTACCGACATCTATGATTGCATCGCCCACCTTGTCAGACGCAGGGCCCGACGTGCGCTGCTGTGCTCACTCCAGGTAGACCCCTGGCAGGCCACTAGGCTCGCCAAAGTGCGGGTTCCCCCCCCCTCCAGGAAGGCTGCTGCCCTGAGGGACACCTCTCATGATTGTGAGCAGGTCGGGAGCAGGTGGCGCTGTAGGGTTTGCAGTCAGATTGTAGCCTCTACCCAGCTTCTCAAGTTTTGTGCCCAGTCTTGTCCAGGTCTGGCCCCAGAAGTCCGAGGCCAGAAGTCGGAGTGGAGCCAATTTGTCTTGAGGACTGGTGAGATTTTGATTGGGGCCACCTCGGCCCACTCGTCCCACAAAATCTTCTACTGGCCTGAGTTTTCCCTGCATTTTTGTGTTTGCTGTGGGCTTACCGCCACAGTGGATGGCAGGTGGCTCGCACGACCCTGCCAGGAGCCCTCCCCCAAAGGAGCCCAGAACCTTGACAGGATCCGTCGAGGCATTTTTCCCTCGCACAGGGGACCCCCGAAGGCTGTGCAGCTGGCCAGAGTGCAGCGTGAAGCTTCGGACGCGGTCCAGCGTGCGAGGGAGGCTCGGGAGGAGAGGGGAATGCAGCAGCGCCCCTTGTGTGAGGGTGGTGTGGGTGGAGTGGCCCGCCGACCCACCAGGATCCCTCACCGTGATGGCGGGGACTCATCGTCTGATTAGTCCCCGCCCAACCCGTTTTGTTTTGCGGACGCTCGTCCTTTCATGGTCACTTCTGGTCACGTCGCCTCCTCCTCCTCCTCCTCCTCCTCCTCCTCCTCCTCCTCCTCCTCCTCCTCCTCCTCCTCCGCCCCTTCCTCCCTTCTCCTCCTTTTCCGCCTCCTCCTCCTCCTCCTCCTCCCTCATTCTCCTCCTCCTCCTCTCCTCCTCCTCCATTCTCTCACTCCTTCTGCCCCCTTCTTCTCCTCTGACCCCTCCTCCTCCTCATCCTCTCTCCTGCTCCTCCCTCCCTTTTTCTTTTTTCACCATCTCCTTCTTCTCATCCTCCTCTTCCTCCTCTCCGCCCACCCGCCTCCTCTCCTCACACTCCCTCTCTCCTCCCCTTTACTCCTTCTTCTTCCTCCTTCCTTCCTCCTTCTCCTCCTCCTCTCATCATCCTCTTCCTCCTCCTTCCTACATCCATTCCCTCCTCCTCCTCCTCCTCCTCATCATCATCATCATCATCATCATCATCATCATCATCCCTTTTCTTGCCTTCCTCCTCCTTCCTCCCTCCTCTCTCTTCCCTCCTGCCTCCTCCTCCTCCTTCCGGGCCAGGGCCAGCGGAGCGACACGCTAGATCATCATCATCATCATCATCATCATCATCATCATCCCTTTTCTTGCCTTCCTCCTCCTTCCTCCCTCCTCTCTCTTCCCTCCTGCCTCCTCCTCCTCCTTCCGGGCCAGGGCCAGCGGAGCGACACGCTAGAAGACATCGTTCCCAACCAGATGCGACGACTGGTCAAGCTGCAGACCCCCGTGGGCCAGGAAGTTTCATTCGCAACACCCGGCGAGGTCGTGCCAGATCAGCACCCCGCTCCGGAGGACCCGAACCTCACGGAGGAGCCGCCCACGGACGAGGAGCGCCCGTTCGTGCGGAGCGGATGGTTCCGGGGACCCCGCGGCCCCGTGGCCTTCGTCTACCGGTGCCCCGACTGCGGCGCCTCCTCACGCTGGTTCCGCGCCTCGCACCCCGAGGTGACGCTGAGGCCGGGCCGCCAGGGCCGCCTGCGATCCCACTCGATGCGACTCGATTCGCCAGCTTGGGCCGCGATGCCGATTCAGTTCGACTCGGTTCAGCTCACCAGCATCGGCCAGGGCCAGCCAGAGCCGGGCGCGGCGATTCGATGTCGGTTCGGTTTGGGGGGCGATTCCTTGGCGATGCGATCCGTTCCCGAGCCGATCCGACTTCGCGATGCGATCTGGCTCAGGCCTGCGCGCTGGGGCCGCCTGTGCGGCGAGCAGGATCGGGGAAGCGCAAGACTCGAGCAAGCCGGAACTCGGGTTTGCCGACGTTTTTTGACGAGTGCGTCATGGAGTTTGCCGGTCCAGTTCTCGTGGGATGTCTGCAGCGGGAGCTCGCGTCAGATTTCAGATTGGGCCTCGCCATTGTCATGGTGGCCCCGTCAGGGTCCCCCGCACCCGAGTCTTAACATGCATCCCCGCGACAGGAGGACCTCAAGAAGTGGCTGGCCAGCTACTTGGGGGTCCGGCTGCGCGTCTGCCTGCCGCTGGACTGGGACCACGTGTGGACGGAGGCCTTCGGTTTATTCGGGCCTGTCCCCCTACAGGGGGATTTTGGACGAAAAATAAAAAGTACCCCAAAAATGCTCCAAAATTGCTCCCCCCCCCCAAAAAAAAAGCCCAAAATCATCCCCAGACTATTTTTGACTACTGTTGAATATTCCCCCTGTAGAGGGACAGGCCCGATTTACGCCTTCGGGCGGCCCAGGCCCGGGACGTGACGCTCCCGAGCCTTCCGAGAGCGCTCTCGGAGCGTTCTGGAGAGCGCTCCGGAACGGCCGCGGCGCCCGGCACGGGCTCCCGAGCTGCTGGACCTCAGTGCGCCTCCCCCTCCTCCCTCCTCCTCCTCCTCCTCCTCCTCCTCCTCCTCCCTTCCCCCGTCCCTCACCCCCCTTCCCCTCTCCTCCATCCTACTCATCCTTCCATCCTCCAGTCCTCCTCCTCCTCCTCCTCCTCCTCCTCCTCCTCCTCTGCTCCTCCTCCTCCTCCTCCTCCTCCTCCTCCTCCTCCTCCTGCTCCTCCTCCTCCCCATCCCCCTCCTCCGCCTCCGCTTCGTCTCAGGTTACGTTGCGTCTTCGGGGGACCTCGCCTGTCCCCGAAATGGGTGTCCTTTCTCGTGCCCGACGCGGACTCGCGGCGGGCTCGACGCGGCTTCGGCGTGGACTCCACGCGGATTCGACACGGATTCGACACCGACCCGACGAGGGCGGCATGGATTCGGCACGGGTCCGCGACAGGGACAGGGCGGCGGAGGAGGAGGAGGAGGAGGAGGAGGAGGAGGAGGAGGAGGAGGAGGGAGGAGGAGGAGGAGGAGGAGGCAGGAGGAAACTCCACCTCCAGTCGGGCGGATGCGCATCCTCGGCGCCCAGCCCCGCGCCTGCGCGGCGCGCGGCCGCCTCGCATAGGGCCGCGACGGGACACGGAGGCCCCCCCCCCGAGGGTGCAGCATAGCTCAGGTCTGGGACGGCTCCGCGTGGGTGCCCCTGGACCCCGACTGCGTGAACTTCGCGAGGCTCGGAAGCTGGGCGAGGGCTTGCAGATCCGTGGCTGCTGAAGCGGCCTCCCTGGAAGACGGACAAAAAGACTCCCAGCGTGAGGCTCGGCGCGCTATGAGTAGTAAACAGGCTGCCTCCCGGAAGAAGATTACAATTTCCCGGGGCTCACTTTTTGCAGCTACGGGTTTGCCAGCCTTCGCCCAGGAGCGTGTTTCTTTATTGCTTGGGGCATAATGGGCATTATAGCCCCCGACCCCCCTCCCCCCTATACTGTAACGCCCCCCCTCCCCCCTATACTGTAACGCGCTCCCGGCACTGCCGCTATGCGCATCGGGCACACGGCGGGGGGGAGGCATTACATTATACCCCCCCCGCCCCCCCCCCATAACGCACATTATTACAGAAAATACAGAAATTCGAATGAGGGAAAAACTTTTGGCGCTCCACGCGGAGCGCCAAAAGTTTCTGTTTACGTGGTTTTTTCTTCATCTAGAAGCCCAGAGATCCGATGTCGTGATTTTTTCAATCCGGGGTCCTGGGAAGACCCGACCCTTTCCCTGGGGCCGATTTTTCATCCTGAGTCGTTTTTTGGCGGTCCCGAGGCCCGGCGAGGGCCTCTAAAGGCCGGAAATAGTGAAAGTCTCCGTCCCGATTTTTTTGTACGACGCCATCATGCCTGGGGCTTCTTACGACGCCATCATGTCTGGGACCATCACGCCCTGGCTTTTTCAGGACGGCGTCCCCGGAAGTGCGGGCCCTTTCCCCGGGGCCGGTTTTTCATCCTGCGTCGTTGTCTGGCGGCCCTGGGGCCCGGCGAGGGCCCCTAGAGGCCGAAAGTAGTGAAAAACCTCCCGTCCCGATGTTGTTTTCACGACGCCATCATGCCTGGGGCCTCTGGCAGGCGCCTCAACGAGGGCATCGGCTCCTGGACCGGCGTGGTGGCCGTCGGGACGCCCGCCAGCGGCCCGGGGCCTGCGGCCGCCCAGGAGGCGTCGCAGGACGTGGGCGAGGCCTACCTCCTGCGCGCGGGGGGCTCCGACGAGGAGCCGAGGAAAGCGGAGGTTGATAGACCCAGACAGGATGGCGTCGTAAAAATATAATCGGGACGGTAAGTTTTTCGCTATTTTTTCGACCCCTAGAGGCCCTCGCCAGGCCCCAGGACCGTCAAGAAACGACTCTTGATGCAAAACCAGTTCCGGGGAAAGGGGGACTCCGACGAGGAGCCGAAGAAAGCGGAGGTTGATGGACCCAGACCTCCGACGTCGCGAGAAATTCACGACGAAGGTGTTTGACAATTTTCGGCCTCGGGAGCGTCAACAAACGACTCGGGATGAAAAACTGGTTCCAGGGAAGGTCTCCAGACTTCGGGGGGCCGACGTCGTGAGTTTCTCACGACGTCGGGGGACCTCCTAATTACCCTGAGATCCTGGCGACTATTTTTTTCGGGCCGGGCGTTTTCGCCCGCCGGGACCCTCACAGATCGATCCGGCTCGAGAAATGACGCAGAAAGATGGAGTCCAGGGTTCTGGGCGCGGATTGTCACGATGTCGCATTTTTTTCGCTACGTCGGATCTCAGGGTACCCTGGCGAGTCGAGTGATTAGCGAATTGGCCGTTTTCGGTTCGCGCGAGGGCGTCGCGGCCGTCATTTTTGCGGGTCCGGGTCCGTCGGTTTCGGTCTTGGCTGGGCCGCTTTCACCAAGGAGTGGTTTACTAAAGGGAGGTTTGTCCACCGCCGAAGAGGCAAAGGCATGACCTCTAGGCCTCCGAGATGGGGTCCGAGTAGCTGGGGTCGGAGGATCGCGCCGCATCGCCCGTGCATCGGCGATGCGGCTCGATGCGGAGCCCGAGCTGCTCCACGTCGACGGTGCCGATGCATCGCCCACGTCGACGATACGTCGCCGGTGCATCGCCGATGCATCGCCGATGCGGCGCGATCCTCCGAGCCCATCTACTCGGACCCCATCTAGCCTCTATAGGCACACACACACAGTCACACACACTTTCGGAGGTCCGCGCGGATCTCTGGGACCTGCGCCGGAAGCCCTTCGCCGCTGGCGCCGCCCCTGGCACGCCACGCGCGCCAGGGAGGGGGCCCAGCGCGACAACTTACCAGGGCCCTCTGAACGGGGACTTTGAAAAGCCAGGGCTTGGGCGCGCCCGCGAAAATTCCGGCCGTGGTTCGAAACGTTCTCCTTTGCTCGTTCTCTCCAACTGGAACGTTCGAAGTCCTGGTAAGCGCTTAGGTGCCACTTTTGCATCCCTCGGCGAGAACGGGCGTTACAGGGGGGGGGGGGGGGGAGCGGGGGGAAGGGGGAGCGGGGGGGAAGGGGGGAGTGGGCAGGGAGCCAGCGGTAACGTCACGATTCGCGCCAGCGCCGTCTGCGGATGCCTGGGAATGGCTAGTTCCCAGACGGCGGCAGCGCGATTCGTGGCGGCACCAGGAGACGGGGGAGACGGGACTGGCAACGGGCTTTCGCCCGACGACTTGAAAACACTGCATCCTAGCATTGTCCTTGCTTGGGGGTCCTCCTCCTCCTCCTCCTCCTCCTCCTCCTCTTCTTCCTTCTCCTCCTCCTCCTCCTCCTCCTCCTCCTCCTCCTCCTCCCCTTCCCACCTCTCCTGGAGTTTGTGTTCATGCCGTGTCTTCTTCTTCTTCTTCTTCTTCTTCCGAGGAGGTCGCTGCGTGGCGCGGGCAGGTGGCCGCCGCCAGGGCGGACCCGTCCGGCGCCGCCACGCAGGCCAAGACGCTGTGCGGGTGGCTGCTGCAAGCCGTGGGCTGGGGCCCCGACAGGGTCACCGCGGAGCTGCGGGCGGCGCAGGCGGGCTACGATGGTGGCCAGGAGTGGTGGGAGCTGCCCGACGAGGGCCGCTGAGCGTCGCCCGAAAAGAGAGGCAGGCGAGGGAGGCAAGGGAACGGGCCGCATGGGTGATCGCTCATACGCAAGCAGCTCCGCTGCCGGCCGCAGCATTCTTGCGAAGACGGCTGTCATGGACGAGTCGTGCGTCGTTGACTTTCTTGCTGAAATCTAAACTAAGCGCCTTGTTCTATGCAGCTGGCCGCAATGTTCCAGCGCAGGTTGCCGCAGCCATTGCCGACGCAGTGGCAGGCTGGTGGATCGAGGAGACCAGCGCGTGGCTGCATGGAAAGATTTGGTTGCGGAAGCGTGGAACACTGTCTTGGGCGTTTTCGTGGGAGAAGCCATGGGCTGGAAAGTGAGTTCAATTCCTGGTTGCACGTCTGAAGGACACTACTGGATGGGCACCGTTGTCGTCTTAAGTCGGACCTGTCCCCCTACAAGGGGAACATTCAAAAATAGTCCAAACATATTATGGGGACTACTTTTTGATTATTTCTTGTCCACTTTGAAGTATTTGTTTTAACTATTTTTCATTTTTCCTCCCAAGTCCCCTTTTAGAGGGACAGGCCGACTTCATTGTCGTCGTCTGTAGAGCATTGAACAATGTTGTCAGCTCCCCCGGCGAGGCGTCGCACCACATCCCATGGCCAAGCATGGTGTTCGCAGAGGCGTAGCTCATAACATACAGTGTTCGATGCTCGTTTTGGGGACCTTCTTGGGGCCCACCTAATGGATCCGTTCGACTCAGGTTCGACTCAGGTTCGACTCAGGTTCGACACAGGTTCGACTCAGGTTCGACTCAGGTTCGACTCAGGTTCGACTCAGGTTCTACTCAGCTTCGACGCAGCTTCGACGCACGAGTGGAGCGAGTGGCTTCAGGAAGGTCCCCAGAACGAGCATCTAATACAGCGCGGGCGAGCAGACCCGCCGGACTTGTGATGCAGTGCGCGACCTTTGTCCCTTGTGCAGCAGGTTGCCCAGACGTGCTGCTATGTCAACGGGGCCGTCGAAGACCTTTCCTGAACGGGGCTATATCAACGGGGCTATATCAACGGGGCTATATCAGACGTGCTGCTATATCAACGGGGCTACGTCAACGGGTCCGCGTGGCCAGGAGGCGAAGCAAATCGCAACTGGTAGCATGAAGCCAGTTCATTTGGGTCCGTTTTTGTTCGAAGGTGCGTGGCCTTGTTTCGGCCCAGCTTGGTTTCGGCACCGCTTCGAGCGGTTCCGATTCGGGCCGGCTTTGGTTCTGGTCCTGCTCCAGAGCGACGAGGACGGTGACGGCGACTGCGACGACGACGACGACGACGACGACGACGAAGACGACGATCGAGGCCAGAAAGCCGCCGAAGGCCGCCGATTGCCGCCGAATCCAAGGGCCTCCAGAGGCGCTGGCGGCAGCGCCGGCGACCTGTCCAGGATAGATTTGTCTTGGAAGAAGCTTTGGATTGGAGAGGCCTGACGGCCGGTGCCGCCGACCCTGATCGAAAAGGCTAGAAGTGGGGGGAGGAAGCGGAGGATGAGGAGGAGGAGGAGGAGAAGAAGGAGGAGGAGCAGGAGAAGGAGGAGGAGGAGGAGGAAGAGGAGGAAGTAGATTTGTTTTGGTGGAAGCCTTGGATGTCGCCTGTGTGTGTGTGTGTGTGTTTGTGTTTGTGTGTGTGTGTGTGCGTGTGTGCGTGCGTGCGTGCGTGTGGTGCGTGTGTGCGTGCGTGCGTGCGTGCGTGCGTGCGTGTGGTGCGTGTGTGCGTGCGTGCGTGCGTGCGTGCGTGTGCGTGTGTGCGTGCGTGTGCGTGCGTGCGTGCGTGCGTGCGTGCGTGCGTGCGTGCGTGCGTGTGCGTGCGTGCGTGCGTGCGTGCGTGCGCGCGTGCGCGTGCGCGTGCGCGTGCGTGTGCGTGTGCGTGTGCGTTTGCGTGTGCGTGTGCGTGTGCGTGTGCGTGTGTGTGTGGTTTCCAGAGACTGTGTTTTTTTTGTGTGTTTATTCCACAGACTTTTCTCAGCACGCGCAGAAACTTCGAGCCTCGGTCCCTGGTCGATCGACGGCGGTGGCCACGGCGGCGGCGGCGGCGACGACCGCGCGGCGACGGCGGCGACGGCGGCGGCGACCTCGGCGGCGGCGGTAGCGACGGCGGCGGCGACGGCGGCGGCAGCGACGGCGACGGCGGCGGCGACGACCTCGACGGCGGCGGCGGCGACGTCGACGGCGGCGGCGCCGACGGCGACGACGACGGCGGCGGCAGCGACGGCGACGGCGGCGGCGCTGACGGCGACGACGACGACCTCGGCGGCGGCGGCGGCGACGGCGCCGCCCGCGGCCGCGAGGCCCCGGACGAGGCGGGCCGCTGTCGTCCCGCGGCCCGCAGCCCGGCCGACGCGCTGCGCAGCCCGCCGCCGACCTCGCGCTCGGGCGTGAGCACGCAGGCGCCGCCCGGGCGTCGCCGGCCGCCTCGGGAGGGAAAGAAGCACACAGACGCGATGAGTCCTCGACTCCCCATCACAGATGGGATAATGTGGGGAGTGGGGGGGGGACAAGAGCCAAGGAAAGATACGGAAAGATGGGGGATCCTGTTATTGGTGTCTAGTTATGTGTGTGTGTGTGTGTGTGTGTGTGTGTGTGTGTGTGTGTGTGTGTGTGTGTGTGTGTGTGTGTGTGTGTGTGTGTGTGTGTGTGTGTGTGTGTATGTGTGTGTGTGTGTGTGTGTGTGTGTGTGTGTGTGTGTGTGTGTGTGTGTCTCAGGGCCCCTTCATCGCCGTCGCCCAGCGCAGCGCCCCGGAAGCCAGCCGGGGCAGGGCTGACCTTCCGCTGGGGTGTGCTTCGGTCGAAGCTCGAGGTTCTCGAAGCGCGAGCGCGCGGGCTTGCTCGACGTGTTTGGAGCCTCCGCGAGGCTCCTCGTGGCCAAGGCCGGCTCCGCCCCGAGCTTTCGGGCAGGACGCCTCCCAGGAGAGGTCCGGGGATCGGCTTGCGACCCCCGATGCCCGAGATCCGGGCGTTGCAGATTTTTCACACCAGGCGTTTTGGCCGGGTCCTGGGCCCCGCCCCCCCCCCTTCCCCCACCTCCTCCCTCCTCCCCTCCTCCTCATCCTCCTCATCCTCCTCCCTCCCTCCTCGTCCTCTGTTCCTCCTCCTCCTCCTCCTCTCCTCCTCCTCCTCTCCTCCTCCTCCTCCTCCTCCTCCTCCTCCTCCTCCTCCTCCTCCAGCTCGGAAAATGCTGCAGAATGATGGGGTCTATGGGTCTGGTCGTGGCTTCTCACGGTGCTGCATTTTCTGTCATAACGTCGGATCTCAGGGCGGGCCCACAGGACCTCCCCGAGCACTGGCTCGCGCGCTTGGATTTGGCCGTTCCCGCGGCCCCCTGGGAGCCGCGCACCAAAGATCACCCTTGTCTCGGGTCACTTGTGCGTGTAGCCGAACCAGGACCGTGATAATCAGGATTTTCCCAGATCCGGGGAGAGGCAAGGGAGAGCGGAGGATGCCTCGACCCGCGGCTGCAATGCCTTGGCCTACCGAAGTCGCCTTTGACAGGCCCCTGAGTCGCCGACGCCGTCGTCCGTCGGAGAGGAAGGGCTGTCCACTTCCGAGGCTCGCTTGTAGCTCCTTGGGTGCAGCAGCAGTGGCAGCAGCGTGTCCTCACGAAGTTCTCGGCAGCTTCGTTCGCCAGCATGTGCTGCTGCTTCCATTTTGCAGCCTGGAGGTATGCATGAAGGCCCGAAGAACGTGGGCCAGGCTGCGCTGATCGCGGTGGGGCGTTTCAGTGGTGGCCGCCTGTGGACGCGTGACTTCGCCGCCGACCAGATGAAAACACACGCCGTGAAACATCAGCTCCTTTTGTTCAACGCCAGGGGGCCGCACGGCATATGTGCTTTTCGAGGGGGCCCTCGGTTTACAGAGACGGCTTACGTGCGTGTGCGCGCGCGCGCGGTCTGTGCACATGTTGCCAGGCAACTTTGCAAACTTGGGTTCTGGTGGCCTGCCATCGGCCCGGCCAAGGCTCTGCCGGGCCAAGTGTCGGGAACGCAGCCGCAGCGCTTTTGCGAGGCGCGCGCGGCCTGGGGACGGCATTGCCGGCGTGGCGGGGTGCAGAAGTGCGTCTCTCAGCCCTGCCGCGCGATCGGTCAGCATCGGGTTTCCGTGTGGGTCTGTCTTCATTGCGGATGCGGCGACGTCCAGTTTTGCAAGCGCAAAGAGCGCGCGCTCGAACAGCGGCGGGCGCGGAGGAGCAGGCAGAGCGATTAATTGATCGCACGTCTTGCCAGGCTCTGTTCAGCCGAGGCTTGGGTGAAAAAGGTGCGAGTACTCATTGCTATTATCGCCGCCTCCATTGCCACGTGCCTTTCCTACAAGTTTGGCGAAGCTCCTGACGACACGGTGGCACGTATTGGCCCACTGGCGTTCTGATTGTGTCCCGATTGCCGCTGGTGTCCCGGCGGGGCCCTCCTGAGGGCCGCTCGCTGTGAGGTCGTTTTGAGCGCTGGTTCTGTCGATGCCCCGTCGGTGTCCTGCAGTGCTCCTTGGTGAGATCGTCGGTGAGATCGTCATGCCACCGCGGGGGCTTCGCGGCCAAGCAAATGCCACCTGCAGCTGGCGGGAGGCAGTTCTCATGCTTCTTGTCCTGGCCCCGAGAGGGTCCTAGCGGTATGTGCTCAGTCCCGAAGGGGTTCTGGTGATACAGTCGGGGCCCTGGAGAAGGAACCCTTTTCGTTGGGGAGGGGCTCCGCGTTCCTTAAGTGGTTCGCAGCTTGCCTCAGGCTTCCCTTAGGTTTTCGATAGGAAACCGAGGGTTAACTTATGGAGAAAAGGGGCCTCGTTCCTTATTTAGGGTTCCTTAGGTCAAGGCCCCGACTGGTGATACCTCCTCCTCCTCCTCCTCCTCCTCCTCCTCCTCCTCCTCCTCCCCCTCCTCCCCCTCTCCTCCTCCTCTCCTCCTCCTCCTCCTCTCCTCCTCCTCCTCCTCCTCCTCCTCCTCCTCCTCTTTGGCCTCGGAGGAGTTCTGATGCATGGAGCCGGCGTTCGCCCG